TTTTTTTTTTTTTTTTTTTTTTGTATTTCAGGCTGCCCTCAAACTCATGGAAATTCTCTTGTTTCAAGCCTTTTGAGTGCTGATATTATAGGTGTGCACCACCACGCCTGGCTAATCCTGATTTGGTTTAACTCAATATATTATCAAGGTCCCCTAGATCCAATCTTATTTTTCTGAGTTTCTTCACCAGTTTTATTTGTAAAGACTGAGCCTTCATAACTTTTGTTCCTTCAAGAAGAAAGTGTACTTAAAAAAAAATATATAAGAAAATGTATTCTGTCTTGCAATTATCATATGGAGCCACTGAACCCTTTTATAACATTAATTTGCACTACAGGACTTTAATGATCCTTTTTTTTTTTTTTTTTTTTTTTTGGTACCAGGGATTGAACTTGGGACCCTGCTTACGAGGCAGGTGGCAGAACCACTGAGCTAAATCCCCAGCCCAGTGATCTATTTTTTCTTTCTTTATTTCTTTTTTTTGATACCGGGGATTGAACTTGGGTTGCCTTGTGTTTGCAAGGCAGGAGATGGAACCACTGAGCTAAATCCCTGGCCTTGTTTCTTAAAACAATTTTGCTGTTTCGTCATTCTAGGAATTATTTTATCACTACTACTGAAAGAATTGGGATTTCCAACTACACTAGAAATAAATAACACCAAAAATGATGGAATATCCCAGATAATGTAGTATAAATATGAAATGAAATAAAAAAATAAAAATAAACAATAATAAATAAAAAAATGAAATAAAACGGCAACGTTTGGTTTTCTTGTACATTATCCAAAGTAGGGTGCCATCTTTAAAAAAAAAGCATAAAGGAAGGCCAAGACACTACTCCTGAAGTCTGCTTTCAGCTTTCCTTAACATAGTTAAGAATTCAGAAATTTTCACTGTCTACCAATTATAACAAACAGAAGGAAACCAGCAGAGGAAGATGTCTTACAACATGAGACTCATAAGAAGATGAAGACAAAGAGCCAGCAGAGGTGTAGACTGATCATATAAGTAAACTCTTAGAGGGTGATTCTTCATATGGTAATATCCTAAATGAATCTTCTCAAACTAAAGAAAAAATGTGTGAACAATATATTTCTAAGGACAAAAGTGAACTATGGTATTCGGGCCCAGAAAGTCATTTCACTGGACGTGAAATTATTTATCAAATAATATTTTACTACAAGAATCTGGACTATCCCCTTTTGCTAAAAAGATTTAAGAGAGCATCATTCTCATTTTTCAAGTTATTTGTGTCAAATTTTTCATAATATGAATAATTTTTCAATGTTTAAAATTTTTATATGGTGTACATGTAAAATGGTATATTATTTAGTCTTAATGACAACATAGACAAACCTAGAGGACACTGTACCAGATGAAACTGCCAGGCAGAAAAGACTAAAAGTACTTCATGATCTTGAGCATATGTGGATTCTTAAAAAAGCCAACCTCATGGTAGCAGAGTGGAAGGGGTTGCCAGAAGCTGGGTGGGATTTGGGTGGGATCGGTCAAAAGGCAGAGGTCTGGCCGTGCAGGACAACGAAGTCCTGTTGTGCAGCACCACATCTATGATAAACGACACGGTTTTGCATCCTTGTAATTTATAAAAACAGTGGCTCCTAAATGTTCTCAACACACACAAATGGTAGTTGTGTAAGGATACGGATGTATTAATTGGCTTGATTGTAATAATCATTTCACAATGTATATCAAAATACTGAATTGTATACCTTAAACACATACAATTTTTATTTGTCAATTTTATCTCAGTGAAAATGAAATCATACCATATAAAAACAAGGGCTATATTTAAAATAACCTTTATTCAAGCCTTGGATCTGCTAAACTAATAGTCAATTTATATGGCAAAACAAATAAACAAAAGCTTGTCTTTGTACTATAGAAAATACAACAGAGAATTGCAAAACTTCCTTTAAGATAATTTGCTCCTCTTTGCCTTCTCTTCATACCAGGGCCTTCTAATGCTAATGAGTTCCTTGGAAGTAGCCATCTCTTAAACAAATAGAAGGAAACTGGGCATGGTGGCGCACGCCTGTAATCCCAGCTCAAGGGAGGCTGAGGATCACTGTGTGTTCCAGACCAGCCTGGGCTACATGAGTTCCAGGTCAGTCTCAACTACATAGTGAGAACCCGTCTAAAAAAAAAAAAGAAAGAATCCCTAGTAATAAAAGTATAAAGGTATTGATTGAAAATCACCATACAGTGTATCTTTAACATTGCTTTGTCATTCATTTAATGCTGATGAGGATTTCATTTGCTCTTTTCACCTTTCAACACAAAGTCTAGGTGTTTACAAACCCAGATTATTGACGATAGCAGTGAGCTGCACGTGGTCATACACCTATTTATGCTAATATATTTTGATAGGAAGAATGCATTTTATTTCTAACTTCCACTGTACCTATTTCCCCTTTCTCCTTCAAAAATACCAATTCTAAAAAGGAGGGAATAGGGAAAGGACATATTTATTCTATAATATGCCTTTGTGTTTTCATTTGTTTTGCAGACTCATTTCCAATTTAGTTATACTGACAGCTTTGTTATGATTTATGGTTGTAATTTCTGTGTGTTTGGATATATATTTGTATCTGTATAAAATGCTGTGATTAATGTAGGCTGATATATTTAAAAACTTTAAAAAATCTTATTAAAATTTAGAATAAGGTTGTTTTTCACTGTCCCTTTATTCTTAGTGCTGATAGTTTATTGGTAAGCCAGGTAACAATTGGTAATGACTTTTTTTCAGCTTAGGCAAACAAGTCATTGCTTGCCTTGTTTTCAAGGACAAAAGCTGCCCAAAGGTAGTTCTAATGAGTTGAGGGAATGAAACACATTGTAGGACATGGAAAGAGACAGCAGGTGCTACAAAAGTAATGGGAGTCAGAGTGTGAGAAGAGAACTGTCCATGGAAAGCCCGACAAAGAAGGCTACACACTGAAGTCAGAGCCATAGCAACCAAGGCAGCACTGCATACCTACATGGCAGCTACCACTTACAAGCTCCATAGTTGTCACAAACATTTTCACTACAAAGCTGCTCAGGCTAGGCCTGAACTTGCAATCCTGGATTACGGCATGCACTACCACTCCTGGCCTATGTTATCCTCGTTTTAAAAAGGATGAAAGGAAGTCAGTTTTGAAAGGCCAAATCACTTGCCAAACACCACATAGTACGTAACAAAGCTGGGAGCCCAGCAAGGACCACAGGGCTGGAGGCCTAGTGTTCTTCTGGCATATCATGATGCTGAAAACCTGTATGTTTAGGAAAAGTCAGGTAACAAAGATGGTACTATGGTTACAGAAAATGATAGTGACAAAGCAAGTGGACAAAGGGAAGAAAACAGTGCTACTTTTGTTCAAATATTACATCCTTCGATGGTGCTGAGCAGATAGATGATCATAACTCTCCTAACAAGGAAATGGACTTCAGACAAATTTTCAGACATATTCAGCAGAGCAGTATCAGGAAGTCTGTAAGACCTGTAAACATCAACTTCTCACCTAGACTAGTTATAGAAGGTTTAAAAGTAGATGCTGTCACTCTCACTCCTTTGTAAAGCACTGCATATAATTATATAAAGTATTCCATAAAACAGTTTACCTGGTGCTGTTGAGAGCTTTGTATGAAGTTCACTGGAGGCTCACTTTGCTTACTCTTCAACCTCAAGATGTTATCGGCATATCCCCAGCTCAGGATAGCTGACCACTGAATATCAGTGCTGTTCATGCTTCTCACACCTCAAGATGGAGAAATAAAAGTATCAGACTACCACTGTTCAGTGGTTGTAAGACAGCCAGAAAAAAAAAAAAAAGGCAGAGTAAAGGCTGAAGTTTATATAGAATCATATCATTCCAGGTGAAACAATCTTTAACTCCCCGAGATGAAACAATTTGAGTTTTTTTGTCTTTTGTTTTTGTACCGGGATCAAACTCAGGACCTTGTGCTTGTGAGGCAGGTGGCAGCACCACTGAGCTAAATCCCCGGTTATTGAGTTAGTTTTAATCCTTTAATGTCAATAGGATTGTAAGGGTGGAATTACATTATTTTCACTTGTGTTGTTTTCATTGGGCTTTATTTGACTAAAGAACTAAAATTACAGTATAGATTTTTAAAAAATAAAGGACAGTGATAGTATTACCCTATCCACATTCTGAGATACCTTTCCTTTTAAAAAAATATGAACTAAGTACTACCTAAATAACTTTTTAGATACTCTGCTAAATTAGGTAGTATGAACAAATTTTAATACTACAAAGAGAGCTCTGCTAGAAGAAAAGCCACAGCTACCCTGTGAAGGGGTTTCAATCCCATCGAGTGCAGGATTTGGCATGGAAGACCTTCACTCAAGGGTGTTTTCTAGTTTTAAAGATTTGGAAATTTTTGATGTCCTTTCTGGGGGCTGTGTATGATCAGTGCCTTTTTTTCACTATAGTAAATGCAGCATGAATGATATAAGTGACTGCCCTTGAAATTTCTAATGTTTTATACCAGCATAAAGAATATTTAGGAGAGAAGATATACTTTGTCTCTTCCCATACCCAGCAAAATAGCCAACAGCTAGATGAACACAACAAATATTTCTTGAATGAATCAATAGCACATTGAAAATGTGATTCAGTGATTTCTTTTTGTTTTCTGAGAAAAATAAGCAAATGTAGGCATCAGTTTCACAACAAAGGAATTGAAACATAACTAGTATAAGCTTCTATAGAAAGGAGCCACATGTAAGGTGTGATCAAAAAGTATGGTGAATGTTTAAATTTTAAAAATTATTATAGTACAAGATACATTATCATTACCCCCTAAAATATTACCTCTTGCTCCAATCATACTTTTATCCCATCATTCTTGCCACTTTCTTTTTTTTTTTATTTTGGTACTGGGGATTGAACTTGGGAACTTGTGCTTGCAGGGCAGGCAGCAGAACCACGGAGCTAAATCCCCAGCCCTCTTGCCACTTCCTGAATCAATTCTGCAAGTCCTCTTTCATGAGTATCTTTAGTCGTGCTGTCATGCCTGCTTTGATGTCCTGAACTGATTCAGAATGTTTACCTTTTAAGGTTATTTTGACTTTAAGGAAGAGCCAGAAATTGCATGCTGCCAGTGAAAAAGGTGGATGAAGATAAACAGTAATATTTTTTGTTTGTTTGTTTGTTTTTCTTTTTGAGACAGGGTCTCACTATGTAGTTGAGACTGATCTGGAACTCACTATGTAGCCCAGGCTGGTCTGGAACTGACAGCGGTCCTCCTGCCTCAGCCTCCTGAGTGCTGGGATCACAGGTGTTTGCCACTGCGCCCGGTGAACAGTAATATTTTTTACAAGCCTGCTTTTATTGGATGGCATCTGACAGCCGCATTCACCGTATCTTCAATCACAACTCATAAAGACATTCAGGAAAGAAGACTTTCAGAACAGCTTCAGAAAGTGGTAAGAACAGTGGGATAAGTGTGTTCAAAACAAAGGGAAGACGTATTTTGCGCGGGATAAGTGGTAATATGTCTTACTGTAACAATTTTTTTTTCTTTTTTGGTACAGGGGATGGAACTCAGGACCTTGTACTTGTGAGGCAGGCATGGTTCCACTGAGCTAAATCCCCAGCCCCACTGTAACAATTTTTAATTTAAGCATTTACTGTACGTTTTGATCATCCCTTGTGTCATGAGTCTTCTTAAAGTTTACCATAATGTGGCAGGTGCACATTTAGACAAGATTTTCATTTCTATTTTTTCTCCAGAAAAAGAAACTACCTAACAGAACAGTGGGTCTCAAATAGGGCTTGCAAGAAAATTGCTCTTTCGGCATGTGCAGCTGTGGCTGGAAGCCTCAGAGATTGTGATGCAGGGTGTCTCAAGTGGGACCTGAGCAAGTGTATTTGAAGAAAAAGCTCCTTGGGCAATTCTGAGGCATAGTTTCCAAGGAATCTGTCTACCTTGCCTTTAACATCATTAAAACCACTTCAATGTAGCTGTCACAGTGTATTATGCATGTATAACCAGGCATAACCCTGACGGTATCTTACATACCAGTGCTTAACTAGCCATCTGTGACTATGCATCCTACCATCTACCTGCTAGCTGCAGTCTTTGGCAGTACCTGCAGAGGGGACCATCCAGTGAACGCTGACCTGGCCTGAGTGTTTTAAGTTGGATGGATACTTACTATTTCCCTTAAGCCAGTTCCCATGCTAATCATCCCAGGCCTTATTTTTTTGAATCCTCACTGTTGATTACCTTGGAAGAAAGTCATTTTGTAGTTCTCATTTTATAGATCAAAAGCCAGTAATTATCTGGAAGGTATTGAGGAACTTTCCCAAGGTCACACAGTAAATAGCAGATCTGGGATGAAAACTCAGGCCCTGTGCTTCCAGAGGCCAGAGACTCTGTATACCCAGATTATATGACAGATTCAGCAAACACTGTGCAAAGGAGTCAAGAATACAGTAATTTGAATGGACCCTGTTATTGAGGGCACACTTAAGGGTTTGGGACAGTAGTAGCACAAGTAAGATAGATTGAGAATTACGTGGGTATTTAAAAATTCCATAATGGTGATAATGCCAGCACTTTCTCATTGCTCAATAGAGATAAACTCTACTGTACTCTTAATTTCTTTACAGGTAGATAATTTACATATTTTAGTATTTCAGATCTTTTTAGCAGTAAGTTAATTGTGACTATAACTAATAGCAAGATACAAGTGAGAATAAGCCATGATATGCCAATCATTATGGGCAAACAGGTTTACCTTGTCTTCCCAACTCAAGTAAACTTAGATGAAATGGTATGCATTCTCTTTTATTCCTAAAACTATGAAAATAATCTTTCATTTTATGAAAGAAACAAGACTGAACCTAAAAGAACTGTGGCCCAGCCAGCACACTTTGCTGCTTTAAGTGACAGATGTCTAGCACAGCTGCTGTCACCTTGCAGCTGCAGAGGCCGTATGTGGAAACTGCCAAGGAGCAGCCTGCATGGTGGGCAAGGCTAGTGCAGTGCACTGTGAAAAGGCTTCCGGCCCACAGGCTGGCTGGCCCTCTGCCATTCACTTCTGTGCACATGCCTGGTCCTGCTCAGTGGGGCAGATTCTATTACATCTAATGAAATGGTTAATTTGGAAGGGCTGAGAGATTACTTTAATGTGAAAAATGTCCCTAGTTTTCCAGGGTCTCAGTGACATTCAGAAATAGGCAGAGATCTCAACTGCACAGTATTCTTCCACATGTCACTGTCACCGTGTTGGCTAGTGGGGAATCAGAAAAGTGTTGCTTTTCAAAATACACTCTTTTGAAACCTCTTTCCAAGGCTCTCTTGTCTCTTGTTCTATTCTGTTTGTTTAAGCCCATGGCTGTATTCTTCTGAGGTAACAGATCTATGAAATACATTTGTGTATTTAATAAATGTGCAGTATACATTTCTATCAAATTGATAGTTTTCATCTTGTGAGCATAACTATTTATTCTTAACTTTCAACACCTCCATTTATTTTATTTTACAGGATCTGTAAATAATTTTATTGAAATTGAACAAATAGCACAACAGTCTTCCTATGTTGGGAAGTCATTTCCCATTCTAGAAGCATAGAAGTTGTACAATAAGGAATTAAATATAGGAATTAAACTACAAATTAAACTCCACCCCGACATCATCATGGACTAGACTTATTTACAAACCTTCATTTTGTGCGTGTGTGTGGGGTGGTTACTGGGGCTTGAACTCAGGACCTTGTGCTTGTGAGGCAGGCACGGAGCCACTGGGCTAAAACCCAGCCAAACCATCATATTTTAAGTACAGTGTTCTTTTATGATTTTGCTTTCCTTTCTATCCCTCTCAAGGGGACTTAGTAATTTCCTCTGACTGATCCAGAAGGGATGAGGATACTGTAGCAGAACAGTGGTGGGCTAACCATAGCACTACTAGCAGCGGTCTCAGTATGTTGTTCCTTACCATGGAGGTAGTGAACAATCCCCTCCAACTTGGGGAGAGGGAGCTGGCGCAAAGGCAAAGGGGGTTAGAATAGGTAGCTTGGGGCAATTCTCCATCAGCACAGGCATCTGCAGCCTGTTCTGACACTGGCCTGTACCCCCTAACTGGGGAGAAGGCAACAAGTGGTTGCAATGGTGAGGGATTAGCTGAGCCCTGGAAAAGGGACAAGCTACCCACACCAGATCCCATTCTTATTAAGAGCCAGCAAACCATCCATCTGAAAATGCGAAAAAATGGCAGGTAGATTGGAAGAACCAGGCTGGTGCTCTTCCCAGCCTCTGTCCAACATAGGAGGAAATGAGGTAGCAAACAGCTGAAATGCTCTGATGTGGGGGTAAGGGAAGTGAGAAGTCCCCACTTGTGTAGAGCTCCCACAGCTGAAGGACTGGAAGAAGGCTACTTTGCGTGTAAAGTGCTATAGCTTCTAGCAGGGCTAGACCCTAGGCAAACTTGGAAGAGAGGCCAGGCAAGAAACCAGGAACTACACATTCCTGACTGCCTTATGTCTTTCCTTGCTTGGCAGGGTGGCTGGGGAAGGTGTGGTTGTACATCTGCCATTAGCCTTTGCCAGCCACCAACCATCTCTTGTCTATACACAAACCAATATCCAATTATGCCGAGGGACTTCCCTGCTCATGGCTGAAGGTTCTGGGCCAATGGAGTTTATTCAGCATTGTGACCCCAGCTTGGGCTCTTCAATGGAAGCCACAGCTTCAACTGGAAGTTTCTTGCTGGGTCAGGGGTGCTTGTGTCTGTCATGTACTAGGGTCACAAGTCATAGAGGATCACAGGGAAATCCATGTGAATGTGGGGAGGATTCAGCTTCACGATGCCCTGAGTAATCAGATTCTTGTACACCTGCCTCAGCTTGGCTTGCCTGGTGACAACTGTCTCCTCATAGAACTCCTGAGCCAGATCTCCATCCTCATCAAGGAACATGAAGCCTCAGTATATGAATATGAAGTGGGGTATCACTTGGCCTTGAGGCCTCAGCAAAGCTTGCCCAGCGCTCACAGTCTCCAGGCACCACTTCCCACTGAAGAGCAGGACCAGAGGCCCTGATCTTTGGAGCTGCTGGCGCCCATGTCAGGGTTGCATGGTGACTCAGTGGCCACTGTGCTTTCACAGTGCAAAGCATGCCACTATGCTGGGCCCTAGCCTCTGTTCACAAGTAGTGCTGCTGCCACCACTGTAGTTGCCTTCTACAGGTTCCCCCAGAATTCATTATATTAGATGGCACTGCATTTAATCTTATGTTTTAATTCCTACTGTATTAGTAACCAGAAATTTGAGCAGTTTTTCACTAAGGACTGAGAAAATGTCAGAAGTCAAACAGCATAGCAGCATGGATGAGCTGGGAACATGCAAATCTCATGAAAGATATCCTCGGGATGATCTTCATTGTGTTTTATTTTACCTTGTTCCTTGCTGTAGGTCATCAGAAGACAGAAGTTTCGGGACAATCCACAGATTGCTCTCGTAGGCAGAGCCTGCAGAGAGCCAAATCTTTCTCCATGAGGCTGGCTGAAGCAGACCACAGGTACAGGAGCACTTGGGGAGCCCACATACTCCCCCCATTTCAAGCCTTTTATCCATGACAAAGGGCTCTAAAACCAAGGAAAGTAAAAATATGATTCTTTTGAAGAGGTACTAAGTGCAGTATTACCCCAGATTTAGATGCTAAACAAAGAGAAACTCTGATTTAAACTCTTTAGGGGCAAGAATTATTTCACACCTTTTTATTTCTCTGTGCTTATGTACAAATATGTATTCTTTATTTGATTTTTACTCTGTAGCTATGGCCTTTTATTGCAAGAAAATGTCTAGTTAGTAATTCAAAATTTCTTGAAATTTGAACAGAGGGAAAAGAAGTATTACTAAGCACATTGCTTAGAAGACTAAAATACTTAATGGGGGGCTATAATTTGGAAGCACAACAAGTCATATATACATAGGATGGTTAAAAATTATGAGCACATGTGACACAGGAAGGCTCACTCAACCCTGAACTCCTGAAGACAGGGACACTGCTGACTCCCCTACATGCTGGGGACAGCAGCTTCTTAGTAGATGATGGATGAATGGAACAGTGTTTACTGATGGAGCGTATCAGGAAGACTAGCGCATGAGATCCTCCAGATGTACTAGTAAGTTCTGGAGAACAAAGAGTTGTGTAAGCACAGCAGGGTGTGGCTGTAGAAGGTGGCGGAAGGCCACAGAGGAGGTGTCACACACTTGCCACAGACAACAGTGGCAGCGTTCCCCCAGATCCCAAGCAAAACACTATCAAGAAGGAATCCAGAGAGAAGAGACTAGGGCCTTTCACAGTTTCTCCCACAATTCTATATTTTTATTCTCCTTTTGACTGTTTTATATTTTACTAATCTTTTAAAAATGGATTTACTTTGTTTTAGATGAGTAAGAGTTTATTTAACTAGGTGTTTACTTTCAATTTTTCAGAGGAAATGCCAGATAAGGCTAATAAAAATAATATACTAAGCAAATTTCAGTTATTTCCACAAAACTTCTAATAATTTTTAGTGTAATTTTATTATGTCATTTTCCAAATGAATGAAAAAATAAGCATTACGGATCTGCGTACTATGTTTTAAAGAAGCATGGCAATTAGGGGCTCTGCGCTATCTGTGAGACCATTGAGAGGACAGAGCGTTCTGAAAATTCGGAGCACCTGTGGGAAAGCTGAGGAGCATCAGGACGGCCCAACTGGGAGCAGAGGGATCAATGTCAGATACACTGGAACAAGTTCTCTTTCTAAAATTTTTGGTCCATCATTGTTAAAGTTGCAACAAAGTGCTGCTAAGCTCCAGTTATGATTTATCATTCATAATTCCTTGTCCCAAAATTCCTTTTATGTGAATTACAGAGCTTAAATTTTGTTTTTAAGTTATATTACAGATACAGCGGGAACTGTTTTACAGCACAACTTGCATAAAGCAAGTGTTTTATTTAAATGCTCCTCATACAGCTCAAGTGTTTCCACACAAGCATATCAGGGTCATCCAGATGACTCCTTGTACTGTGTCTGGACACAGAGATTGGGGCTTGTGAGCAGGTACCTTGGAAGGCCTGAGGAGTCAAGAAGCAGTAACTGTGTAGGTTTTGTAGTGGCTCAAATAAAGAAATATAGTGGGTTAAATGCTGTTCAGAAGCACAGGCAAGCCAAATTCCAAGTAATCTGTCTTGAGAAGAACCAGATTCGGAAGCAGTGAGTGCCAGTGTACACCAAGGCACCATGCAGGAGCTGGACACAGTGATGAGCAAGACAGGCAGATTCCTCTCCTTGTGGAGCTCTACTCAAGGTTGGACGGGAGACAGACAAATATATACACACACAGTATCTGAGGCGGTGAAAGTAACTGCTCTGAAGCAAAGCAAAGACGGGGACTAAGAATGATGAAAGCACCACCAGAAGCAATGGAGTCAGGAAAGACTCAGAGATGTCTGAGTCTGAGCAGAGCTCTGAGTGGAATGAGAGGGAGCCACGAAGGGTATCAATGTGTGAAGTCCCTGAAGTGGGGATCAGGTAGGTTGGTGCCACATTCTCACTGCCAGCACATACAGTTTCTGTCTCTGCCTACCCAAAACAGCTAATTAGAAGTAAGTATAGTAGTAAACTAGATTTCATTTATTAAGTTTGCTGTATATACTGTTAAATTATTTTGAAATGTTAAAGTAATGGATTTAAAATTGATGACTCTGATAATGATAGTAGTTAAGATTATTTTTAAGCCATTGAAAACACGAAGTAAAACCTACAGCTTTCCACTATAAAGTGCATTATAGATTTGATTTTAGTAAAACAACAGTGTTATCATATTAATGTTTTATACTTGAATTTTATACCTGGAGGTGGTTGTACACACCTGTAATCCCAGTACTTTGGGAGACTGAAGCAGGAGTACTCCAAGTTTAAGCTCAACCTGGAAAACTTAGTGACTTAATTGAGACCTTGTCTCAAAAAAAAAAGGTGCTGAGGGATGTAGCTTGGTGCAAAGGCCCTGGGTTTAATTCCCAGTATAGCAAGAAAAAAATAAAAAGAATTTTACTAGTTAAATGAGTTTTATTTATATTTTACATACATGTTTGACAGAGATGAGCTAGGAGCATAAAGAATTTGCATCTAAGGTCTGTCTGACATATTTAAGTAATATTATGGGAAACATTGTACAAGCTGCACTCACAAGTCACTCCAGAATATTTGGAAAACAATACTTTAAAAAATATCAACTATATAGGAATCAAGCTAACCAAAGAGGTAAAAGACCTCTACAATGAAAATTACACAATATTAAAGAAAAGAAGTTGAAGAAGACATTAGAAAATGTCAAAGAGAAAGACCTCCCTTGTTCATGGATAGAAGAATTAGTGTTGTGAAAATGGCCAAATTGCTAAAATTGCTTATAAATTCAAAGCAATCCCTATTACCAACAACATTATTCACAGAACTAGAAGAAAACATTCCTAAAATTCATATGAAATCAGAAAAGATTCAGAATAATCGAAGTAGCACTGCACAAAAAGAGCAAAGTGGGAGGCATCATAACACTAGATTTCAAGTTACACTGCAAGGCCATAGCATCAAAAACAACGTGGTACTGACACAGAAATAGCCAAACTGACCAAAAGAATAGAGCAGAAGACACAAACAAACTTATGTACCTATGGCCATCTGATTTTTGACAAAGGGGCCAAAAAAAAAAAAAAAATTGGAGAAAAGACTGCTTCTTTAACAAATGGTGCTAGGAAAACTAGATATCCACTTTCAGAAGATACAGACTAGATTATCTCTCACTCTATGCTAGAATCAAATAAAAAAGGATGAAAGACTTAGATATAGAATCAAAAACTGAAATTTCTGGAAGATAACATAAAGGAAACAAAGGCCTGGGCACAGGCCAAACAGTCTTCAATAGGACTGCTATAGCAGGGAAATATCAACAAGAATCAACAATGGGACTATATCAAATTAAAAAACAAGAAAGCATAGCAAACAAAACAAAGGTGAAGAGACAATCTACAACATGGGAGAAAATCTTTGCTAACTACTCTTTGGACAGAAGATTAATCTCTAGGATATATAGAAAAACAAAAAATTATCATCCCCCAAAAACAAATAACCCAGTCAAAAAATAGGCAAATGAATGGAGCAGATGCTTCTCAAAGGAAGAAGTGAAAATGGCCAATACGTACAGAAAAAAATGTTCAACATCTCTAGGCATTCGAAAAATGTAAATCAAAACTACTCTGAGAGCCCATCTCACCCTTCTCAGAACAATTGTTGGGAATACACAAAAACGATGATGTGGATGCTAGGGTGGGTATGTAAACTCGTACAAACACTGTGGAAATCAGTAGGGATGTTCCTCAAAATTCTAAAATTAGAAATACCACTGATTCAGCTATACCTCTCAAGGGTATATTCCTGACAGAATTAAAGACAGCATACTACAGTGATACATTCACACCCATGTTTATAGTAGAACAATTCACAACAGCTAAGCTGTGAAAAGAGCCTAGATGCCCATCAACAGATAAAGAAAATGTGATATATTTACACAGTGGAGTATTATCCAGCCATAAAGAAGAATGAAAACATGTCTTTTCCTCTTATTTGCACAATCCTAGTTTGTTGCTTTTCAAGTCTTTCCCTGATAATCACCCCTCTCCCTGGGGAGGCTACTGTTTGACATAGCCATCTTTTCCCTCTGAGCTTTCCAGGCTCTTTCTTCCTGTCCCTGGCATGGCATTTACCACATAGGACATTGCTTTAGCTGCCTGAGCCTGCCCTGCTTGTATCTCTAAGCCAAGGCCACTCATTTGTATGTTCCCAGAGTCTGGGTGAGGGTCTGGCACTGCAGGAGTCATCCCACAGGTTTTGCTGAATTCGATTAAAATCCCAATGACATACCGGATAGGTGATTTCTTTGACTTGTTCCCGGGTCTCCCTGAAGGCAAACTGCACCAACAGCCCCACGGCGGCAGGAAGCTCGCCTTCCATGTTGAGCTTGCCTCCTGGCCTACTGGCATGGGCCGTGTGGAACAGCTGGCGTGGGGTCTGCCCATAGGTTTTTATCATGGTTTCTAGTGCTCGCCTCTGAACTGAATCTTCTACTGCAGAGACATCCATCCCAAAATATGTCTGTAGAGTGATAAAGGACATGAAGTATATGACTAGAAAGTAAGACTTGGTTTAAAAAAAACAAACAAAGGGAACGAACACGTCATTGCAATCTTTAAGCAATGGATTTACTCTTCTCTATTCCAAATGCAAATGACTACAAATGTTTTTCATCAGGTTAACTGTCATTAATAATTTCAATGAGATCAGAATAGGAATAATCAGTGTTTTAAGATGAGTGACAAAAACAACGCATCTTGCCTGACTGGTACTCATTAGGTATGTTTAGGGTCTGAGAACATGTGTAATACTAAATTATTAAAGAAGTTGCTTGTCCAAAGTGATAAATAGGAAAAGGCAAAAAAGTAGTTAAAATGCAATGCTGTCAGGTAGTTCATAAAGAAATGTGAGTTTTAATGAAAATTGTAAGTGAATCCAAAAGAGCAGCAGTGAACATCCAAGCTCTTTAATATCAAGCGCATTATCACTTGCTGTGTCTAAGGGTTACCATCCTTCCCTGTTGCTAAACCTAGCAGTTGGTGTCCTGCCTGCCACGTTAGGCATGTCCACGTGGACAGTTTACTTTTAGCATTGAATCAGTTACAGCAGCCTTTGCTTACATGTCTAGATATAATACTCCTCTTAAGCACCAAAATGGTTTAAAAGGTCAAAGATACTCCAGAAGTTAAACAATCTTCACTGCTGCCCTCAACCCCACTCCAGCCCCAAGGATCAAATGTGTACTAAAATGTGTATCAAAGCAGGGCCATTTGAAGGGCTATCTGATGTAATGTATTGTAAAAAATCAGACGGAGACTGATATACTCCTGGAGCTGGAATTCTTTTTTTCTTTTTTTTTTTTTTGGTATCAGGAATCATCAAACTAGAGCCCTTGCACTTGTGAGGCAGGAGGAAGAACCACAGCGCTAAATCCCCGATCCTGTTTTTGGAATTCTTAAGTTTATTTTAAGATGACGTTTCTTTACATTCTTTGGCATCAGTTTCTAAGTGGACCCTATGTAATAGTGAGTAACAAATAAAAGGTCAAAGGCATTTCTATAAACCTTTAAAAAATGTTAATGCTTGCCTATACTTAATTAGGTGGCAGACATGAATTTAAGTCCTCACACATGAGTCTGGTTTTATTATTCACTTTACAAATGTATACCTTTGTTACAGAGACATTTGGTTATTTGTCCAAGATCATAAGGCAAGTGGCTGAGCCAGAGAATGAAGACATGAACTCAATTCTGAATTCACAGACTACACACTTACTTGGTAAACTTTGTTTTGCCCCACATTGAGTTTTTCTAACTTCTCAGAACAGTATAACTATATCTTTTCTAAAATGCCAAAGTTCCAAAAATTAGTAAAAATAATTCTAGTCAGATGAGAACTACTTTGTATATTTTAGTCTTCAAATACTTTCAATGTGAATTTATATAAGAATATAGGTAACTGAAATGATGTTACAAGAGTATAGGCATAGAGTGCTCCGAGGTCAATATTAAAATGCCTAATTGCTCTAAAAGTTGAATTTTAGGATCAAATATGAACAAAGTTCAACAGTTAAACCTACTTCATGGAGTTGAGAGTGTGTCCCTTGGCACACTGAAGATGTTAAGCTGGAGGAATGTGAGGAATAGCCTATGCAGGAAGGAACCTCTGGCCTGCACCGGAAGCAGGTGAGAAGACCCTCAGGTGAGACGTGTCCTCCCTCCCTCAGGAAAGGGGCATCCTTGGCTTTAAAGACAGATGACGCCACATGGGGAGGAATGTGGACCCACAGGCCTCACTGTTTCCCCCAGCCCACTGCCCTCACTTCATCTCCTTTTGCCCTACCCTAAGTCTGTATGCTTTTCTTCTTTTAATCTCTGTTGTTACAGGGTCCAGCCAGTGAACCAAGATGGATTAGAAGAAAAAGCAAACATATTTTCCTCCTTTATTTCTCCTCTACCTACTACTGTTACATACAAATTATTATTTGCCAATCTGTGCTATTCTTATTTTTCAAAATAAAATTAACCAAAGCATACATATATCTTCTAGTAGAATAATCAGTAAACCTATCTTATTCTCTCTTTTAGACTGTAAACCTCACAAAGAATTTAATTTTATGTTACCTTCAAGGTACCCAAAATAATGACAGAAAAATGGACTAAAGATAAATTTATTTCTAGACTGCTTTGGGAATGGATTTCTGGCCTAAAAAAGCTCAGATACAGTGGTGTAGAGTTGTAATCCTAGCACTCTGGTAAACTGAGGCAGGAGGATTGCAAGTTTAAGACTTTGCCTGAGTAAATTAATCATTGTGCAAGGCCAAGATCCAGTCTAGTTCAACCTATTACTTTTAAAGTTAGAGAAACAATGAAGTTAGATGTCTTTTGCATTGGGCCAATAGCTAATTGGCTGCATTAATACTGAGCTGCCACTAGTATTAGGAAATATTTTTCTCCTCGTAAGATGCTTTTTAAACCTCCCACTCCTTGAGACCTTTCATTCTGTAGACCTCAGTGGAACCTGACCACCAGATCCAGGCCCATCCATCTCACTCTCTTCTTAATCCTACCTGTTCTTATTACCTCTGCAACCCTAGAGCCCAGCAAAACAAATGTTTCCTGAAGAGACAAGGTTGTTTTTAAAAAAGTTCCTCTGTCCTTTTTCTCACATGAAGTACATGTGAAAGTAATAAATCTATTGCTAGTAATTTATCTTAGAAAAAAGTATATGTGAAAGTAACAATTCTATTGTTAGGAATTTATCTTAAAGAAATAAAGATATGCATAAAGAAATAACTTCAGGAATACTCATCTTAATGTAACAGCAAATATATCCTAACTAAATATCCAATGATAGCATACTGGTTAAACAAATTATCATGCAGCCATACTTTGGGATGATAATTATCTCTTAAAAATCATGTAGAATATTTAATGACTTGAATAAATTTGAAAGTACACTGTTCAGAGGGAGGAAGAGGTTACCAAATGTTACTAGTACAGTATTGGAATGACAAACCTATATAGAAAAAGTCTAGTTGTTGAGGTTGGCCTTGAACTCATTGTGCAGTCCAGGCTCGTCTCAAACTCGCTGCACTCCTCCTGCCTCAGTTTCCCAAGTGTTGGGCTTATAAGCGTGTGCCAACATATCTGGCTGAAGGTGGTTTTTATATTTGTCTCTGGATAGTGATACTGAAATTTATTTTAAACTTTTTTGATATTTATCTCTGGGTGGTGATATCACAGCTTATTTTAAACTTTATTATATTTTTTTCTAATGAAGCACATGTTACTGTTTCTGTAATAAGGAAAAATGATGCCATTTTAAAACAGAACATGTATGTAAGAGAGCACGCAGAAGAGAGTTAAGACAGTAAAAGCTGACAGCTCTCCCAGGAAAGACTGCCTTCCAGGCAGCCTGGGCTAGTGTCTAGGAATCTGGACTTCAGGATTCTTCCCACCATTCCCTAAGTGACCTGCCTGGATTACTGTGTCTAAACTACACAAACAACAGGGCTTATGTTGAACACTTCCTTTCCTTTTGAGAGTGTGGGACTGGAGTAAGTACGAGGTAGATGGTGCCTAATGTGACCAGCCCCAAAAGACCCTGGGTGCTGTCTCCAACAAGCTTCCTTGGCAGACAACACTACAGATGTGGTATCACAACCTGTTGCTGAAGGCAGTAGGTTGTTTATGCTTGGCCAAGAGACTGGTGGAAGACTGGGCCAGGTTCCTCCAGACTATGTTCAGGCTTCCTTCTCTTTTTATGCTGTTTTGTTCACTAGATAAACCACAGACATTTGCTGAGGCCCCAAGGAAACCCTACCTACCACAGATAGTACGGAAGTATTTTTTGTACGTTCTGTTTTTTCTTTGTATAAATGGAGATTGAAACCAGGGCCTTCATATTGAGATACATTCACAGAACTTTTAAATTATTTTTAAACTTTTATTCTGAAATAAAGTCTTGCTAAACTGCTAACTTGCTCAGGCTGGATTTGAATTTTTGATCTTCCTGCCTTACTTCTCAGAGTGGTAGGACTGCATTGCCATGCTCACATCTCAGGTACCCACCCCTCCTTACTGGGGATCAAACACTGCCACTGAGCTAAATACCTGGCCCTCCTCAGGCTTTTTTTTGTACCAGGGATTGAACTTTGGACCTTGTGCTTGCCACGCCGGCATGGCACAACTGAGCTACATCCCTGGCCCTTTTAAAAAAATCTGTTTGTTTGTTTGTTTATTTTCTCAGGCATTTTTAAAGATATAAAATCTAGTCAGGTGCAGGGGTGTATGCCTACAATCCCAGTGTGTTAGGAGGCTGAGGCAGGAAGATCAAAAGCTTAAGTCCAGCCTGGAAAACCGAATGATATTGTCTTAAAATGAAAAGGACTGAGGGTGTGGCTCAGTGGTAGAGTCCTTGCCTACCATATGCAAAGCCCTGGGGTTTGTGTAACCCCATTATCACGGAAAAAAAAAACAAAACAATGTGAAGAATTCTGGGTAAAAACAGCAACATCTGAGTGTAACTGCCAATTATCTTTAATAATGAATACTTTAAATGAACAGCCTAACAGCAAACCTTAAAATATTTAGATTCCATTTTACATATGTGCAGATGACTTAAGAAATGATTTTAAAAGTCACTTACAGCAGGATGGAAAACATTGATGGCTTGAACAGAAGCTTTTCCCTTTTGCTTGTACCCAAACACCAAGTCAATCCAGTGACAGATGTTCTGGGACACGTGGTCAGACTCCAGAGCCTGTCGGTGGATAAGGATAAAAAGACGAGGGTCGTTCCGTGCCCAAGGAGGAAGGTTGACATGATTAACCCGTTCACCATTCTGACGCACGCCAAAATCAAAACCTGAAGGAGAAAAGAATTGTTGATAATAATAAACACCTGTCTTCACAGGCACACTCCTGTCTAGGTAGGCTGAAATACTATTATCAGCAGTTGGTGTGATTTGCTTGCCAAATCACATGAGTGCAAGTTACGGTTGATAAATATGGGTTTTGATTCTATTGACCATAGGTGCCACTACACTGTGCCCTCTTCTACACATGAGCACCATGCAACTGAGTCATGAAGAAAAAAAATCACTAAAACCACATAATAATGTTAAAAGTTTATGATCATGTGGTGTCACATTACTAGCTGTCAAGGGCTGAATATAGCTTTTGGGCCACAGGTTGGGCATACCTGTACTAAGCATGCTTGCATAACAAAATAATACCAGCACATCAAATAAGAGCATTCTTCTGGGATACAGATGACCTAATATTTAATTGATTAGTTTGCTAGTGTACAAAAAAAATCTTAGAAGTATTTATTTTATTTATTTTTTTGGTACTGGGGCTCAAACTCGGGACTTTGAGAATGTGAGGCAGGTGGTGGGACCACTGAGCTAAATTCCCAGCCCAGAAGTTTATATTTTTAAAAATTGTCCTAAAAGAAATAATTTTCAATAGAAGATGTTCTGGTATTATTATTATTATTATTTATTTATTTATTTATTTATTTATTTATTTTTGGTACTGGGGATCGAACTCAGGTCCTTGCGCTTGCAAGGCAGGCCACCGAACCGCTGAGCGAAATCC